TGTGCCTCCATTAGCTAGCCATGTCGGAATATCCTACGTTCTCTCCCTCTCACCTCTGCTTGGAGAGTAAGCACGAATCTATTCATCAGGAAAGAAAGAACAGCGCGGTCCTGGTGAGGTCAACAACCCCTGGCCCTGACTAGACGACAAGCACAAATCCGCTTCAAGATGCGTTTGATTTAGCCTGTGTATACAAGCTCTCGGCTGGACGTTAAACAACCTAGGGCGGCGGCCGCCAGGAGCGCGATTTAGTCAGGCTACGTTTGATTCAATGCTTCGAATCCACTCTCCCCGCACAGACCACCCAACCGTAGTTGGATCTCTCCTGAAATAAACACAGTGCGGTATCATCAGCCTGTATTGTGTCTATGCTTTCACCGGGGCAAAGGCACGTTGACTTTTGGGATATCAGCACGATGTAGTACCAGTTTTTCTTGATATAAACGCAATTGCACAGCATTATTAATAATAAAGAAGAACGATGTGCAGTTATCAACTGATAAGGGGTACGGGTGATGGATAGCTTTGTAAACGTTTCCTGCTTGTAGAACTGCTGTTACAAAATGCAGTCATGACGATCAATGGAAAGTAGATTTGATGACGTTACACTTGTCGACTCACACTTTCAGTGACATTTGTTGCTTATATAAAGAAGTTTCAAAACATTTCGTGGTTTAACGTAGCATATAACTTCCGATGCAGTAACTCCGGATCCATGAACGTTTAAGTTATGTCGACTTTTATGGTTGTGTAACAGTGTGTAACTATCCCTCGTAGTGCTGTAACATACGTATGACTAGTGAATTTGGCCTAATTGGACCATTATCGGACCAGGACAGACCTGGCCGAGATGTCCGCTGCAGAGGAAGGTACCGGGACTCTCCGCTCGCAGGAGTTCTACGAGCCGTTCCACGCCGAGAAGATCCTGGTCGGGGCTGAACGAGCTGCGGGCCGACGGGAACTTCATCGACGTGCTGCTGCTAGTGGGCGGACAGACCCTGCCCTGCCACCGGGCCGTGGTCGCCTCCTGCTCCGCCTACTTCCGTGCCATGTTCTACACCGGCATGAAGGAGAGCCGACAGGAGGTTATACAGGTACCGGTACCTTGGTGATTCCTGATTGATCACGGTGACTTAGGGTATTGTGCAAACTGTCATTGGGATTTCAATCACATATAGTATGTAATGACAAGTCAGTGATTATGTGTTAGTCGTATATCATTCACTATCATCATTAACTATGTCTTTCCTGGTGGCACCGATATGACTTATTGTTGAGGATGTCACCACTGTGCCCTGTAATGTGAATGTAGATAATGATGTACATGTAACAACAGAAACATTGACGATTTAGGCCGAAAATGGCACTGCTCGCAATGCATGTTTGATGCATTTTTTTTCATGTCTTGGTCTAAGTAAGCAAAAATTTTCACATTAAGAGTGGTAGCCGGGTTTAACAAAAGCTGTCCATAACAGGTAGACGGGATCTCGGCTGATGCTCTGGCCTGCTGCTGGATTACGCTACACGGCACGACTCGTCATCACGCAGGAAAACGTCCAGCCGCTCCTGGAGGCCGCCAATTTCCTCCTGTTTTACGAGGTGAAGGAAGCGTGTGTGTCCTTCCTGTCCAAGGAGCTGGATCCGTGCAACTGCCTGGGGATCCACCGCTTGGCCAGGATCCAGGACCTGGATCGCCTTGCGGACGGCGCCCAAATCTTCGCGCTGAACATTTCACAGAAATTTCCGTGCCAGGAGGAATTCTTTGAGCTCTGC